ACTTTCTCCAATTTCTCCTAAAACTCCGCGCATGGAGAAATGGAACAAGTATTTTAAAATGGAGGAAGTATATATTTTCTTTTCAAATTGTATAACTCTTGTACATAAGCATGATATAGAGTATGTAAATCAATCCTTAGATACCTAGGCCATGTCATCATCAGTTTAATAAAAAATTGATTAGCTTAGGGCCTGTTCACATTTACTTAATTTTAGTTCATTTCAGCTCCAATCAGTTCAGTTTAGCTCTAATCAGTTCAATTCAGTTTAGTCCAGTTCAACTCTCAATTTCCCTCTCTCATAAAATATTCATTTCAGTTCAGTTCAGTTCAGTTCAGCTCCAATCTGTTCAGTTCAATTCAATAAATGTGAAATGACCCTTAGTCCTCTAACATAATATCAGAGTTAACATAATACAAAGATCACGGATTTAAACCTCTCCTCATTTCAAAGTGGAACGTCAAAGGTCATCATCAATTACGTAGCAACATGAGGACTATATAAAGAAAACATAGCGCTTGAATTTCGCAGCAAAAGGCACGGGGTAACGCCTAAAGGCTCTAAATAGAAATTAAAGCATTATGCATTTGGAGGATTAATTTAGCGTTCTTTTTTCTCCCCACAAAAACCCAATGTTGGGGTAAGAGGTAGACATGCATGCACAACACCACAAATGAGATGCATTTCTAACTAAACGCATGTAATAATCTATCAGTACTACATACGTAAGATTTTTTATTTTTTTTTAAAAGATAATATAAAGGCAAAGTCTTTTTCTTTTTGGATATGCGCTAAAAAGATGTAAAGAACTGCAAGTAGGGATGATTTACGTAAAAGCTATACTAGAGTGTTTTTATTTTTATTTTTATTTTTTTTATTTATTTTTTATTTTATATATATATATATATATATATATATATATATATATATATATATATATATATATATCTTTTTTTTTCGGTTAATGATTATAAGTTTGTAACCCGAATTGCTATGAACTCAAACCGAATTATGCCGGGGTACATAAACTCTCTCCTATAGTAACCCTTTTTCACCCAATTCGGTCATGATCAACCAAATTGTTTATAACTTGAACCGAATTAAATTTGTACAAAAATAAATTGAAATTGAACCAACCTGTTAAATAATCAGAATCGAATTAATCCGACCTATTAGTTAACATGTCTAAATAAACTCAGTTAAGTCGATTTGTCTTAAAATTCTTAACCCAAGCCTAACCTAACTGAACCGTCAACCCAAATTGATAAGAATAGTTAATACTCCGTAGTCCGTAGATTTATGCATGCTTAACTAAGTTATACTTCCTCTGTTCTTTTTTACTTGACCTGTTTCTTTTATCACGCTTGCCAATGCAAAACTTTAACGGTTAATAACTTTAATTCTCCATAATTAAAAAATATAAAAGTCATATAGTATGATAGTACTTATTGAGACAAATCCAAAATAATCCAACATAAATATATTTTTCCTTATATATTATTCACAAAACACGGTCAAAGGAGAGGTGGTGAATAGTGTAAAAGTCAAAGCGGATCAATTAAAAAAGAACGGAGGAAGTATATTTAATGGGTCCTAGTGGTCTAGAAATGGATGGACGTTGTCGCAATGTGGTACGATATAATCTTCATTAATCAGTCAATGATAACGAATGAATCACCAAAAAAATGTAAAAAAAAAAAAAATTACATCCGACAACTTATTGTTTAACTTATAATTTGGTATCGACAGACACCATCATTTCATTATTACTGCTTCTTGGATTAAGCCACATCGATCTCTTCCATATATCCTTTTTTTTTTTTTTTTTTTTTTTTTTGAAGTTAAAAGTACACATTCTTGAAGGTCAAACACTTACTTTATTGGCGGTTTACAAATTTGACATTATATCTTATTAAATCAAAGATTAACGTGGCTTTAGTGAGGTACAGAATATAATTAAAAGTTAACAAAATGTGTGATATGTTAATCTCTCTTTATATTATTGCTAAGTTTATTCAAGAATTTGATTGATATGCATAACTTTATATATTTTGTGTAAAACACGCCGTCAAACCATCTAAATAATGAATTTATAAACTTTCCAAAACAAATCGATTTACAAACAAGTGTTTATTTTATTGTTTTCTATTATATATGATAAACTAGTTTAATTTTGTTTAGAAATATATTTGTATACACAATGTTAAATTATTGAAGTAGAGGTTGTGGAGTAATAAAATCGCTTTTCATCTCAAATTTCAAAGGAATAGGGATCAAATTAAACCTAACTTCATTTGAGAAATTTATCTTATCTCTCTCCTCAAGTGATTCTTCTTCTTCTTACCATAAAAATAACATTGTTAAATCATTGTACATATAACAAACTAATGATCAAAAGTTCAAAATTTCACAAGAAGTCAAATACAGAAAAATTTTAACCTTAGATAAATTCTACCAAGAAACTTTAGAAAATTTGTCAACTAATAATATAATTAGTTGATATTCACAATTAATTGTAGTAGTAGTAGTTAATAAAACATGATGGGACATGATGATTAACGCAAAACTTATCAACAAGTAGTTCCCTAATGATTTCTTACTACCATCATCATTTCTTCACACTGATCTAAGAATTTGTAATTTGACACAAAAAATGAAAAATGAAAAATAAAAATAAAAATAACAATAACAATCACATTCACGCTTAAGATTTCCATGCCTAATGATTTATCAAGTGTATTTAGGCCAACATTTGTAGTTTGTGGGCCATTGCATTGGTCGGCATGACAACAAACACCATTTTATTGCGACGACAATCTAATTATCATATGCTTTAGGGAGTGTTCAAAGTTAAATCATAGATACCCTCTATAGTTAGCTTCTCGTACATATAAAGAAAGGTTTATTATTATTGAGTAGTCTCAAATTATAGAAAAGGTAAACTGAAATTTCGAATTTCATACTTCATAGACTATACTCCATCTGTTTCATATTGGTTTGTGAATCTACTTGCTTTTCAACGTTTTTAACTGACGAATCTGTGTTTTAAAATCTTTAGTTAAGTATTAGTATAAATAATAAAAAGTTAATATTTTGAATCTATATACTACAATATAAAATTGAGGCGAATCTATCAAGTTCATTCTCATATGTATTTGCATGATATGTTTTACTTATATATTGACATACATTATGATCAAAGTTGGTTTTGCAATTTTTACATAGAGACATTCTTACTAAGCTCATCTATTATTGCAAAGGAGTGTGTTTAATTCGAATACATAATAGCTAGGGTAAACCTCAAATTACATGAACTTCAAATTTACTAGATTTAAGTAAGTAATTTTATAAAATACCACATAATAAATCGTTTGAATGAGATCAAATTTCAATTAATAAAAGCAAAATTTTTTAGAGTTATAGTGAGGAGAACATGACCTGTTAGATCATGAGCACAAAAGAGAAAAGATCAAGCTAGCTAATTAATTAAGCTTCATATCAATGTGGAAGGATTTAATTAGAATTAAAAGAGTTACACTTTATACTTAATAGTTTATCTCAATCATCTACTCATTTCAATTATACATGATTGCCTTTACTAACCTATTAGATACATACATTAACTGTATACCTTAGGGATCATAAGGATGTTTCAACTTTTAAGGCAAGTAATTTCTTTCCCTTAATTACTTTCCAACCAAACAGTATATGCCGACTCAATCTTATGCAATTATTGACTTCTACATTATACTCCATCTGTTCCTAATAGAATGCCTCAACTTTAAATACGTAGTACATTTTTAAGAAGCAAGTGCAAATCTGCGCATATGGATAGACACAATATTGATGAAGAAAACGATCGCTAAAGTAAACAAATGGAATTATAAATGGAAAAAAAAAATTACCAATTCAAGTATGAAACAACCTTTTACTGATATCAATTTTGATAAACGGGACAATCTTTTAGAGACGGATCCAAAGAAGTAAATCACATTACTATATGGTTTGCAATAACTCCTCCTAACTATAGACAATAGAGTTATAGTGATGATTAGTATGGTTAGAAAAAAGTGCAAGCATTCCTATCATCTCAATTACACAAACATGGCTGAATAATACTCTAGTACCTGCTAATCCTGCCTAAGCAATGAGTAACTAAGATACACTGACATGTTTAGGATTTAGCTTAATTTTTATTTTCAAAGTATTTGTTTTTATGAGGCATAATTATGTTATTTGTTTTTGTCCAAAAACGTTGCATGGGAAGCTAAGCGTGACGTATCATAAAATATAGGGTTATTTTTATAATTAGTCTAGGTATCTTACCTCCTGTACATTTTATGAGATGTACCTGAATTGAAAATTTTATTTACATCTATTATGGAGTACTCTTATTTCTTTCTTCCTGAGTATCATATTCATATATTTTATATCTTTAACTATACATATTGACATAACGACAAATAAGTTTAAATTATGAGTAATAAATACGGATTATTTCAAAAAAAAAAAAAGAGTAATAAATACAGATTATATATTATTTTGAAAGTGTACATTCACTAAACTTTTTGTTGTTTTCATCGCGTGCTATAAACGAAAGTTGCTAAACCTTATACTAGTATTTTTTTTTTTTTACAAAAAAAATGAAGCTTTTCATTGGGTCACCCTTTTATGTTTACACATCTATAGTAACTTGTCGGAGTTATAGAAAGAAGCATAAGGCCGACAAATTATAGTTCTACCACTGCAGCAATCACATACGCAGTCCTTGTAACAAAGATTACACACATTTTTTTACCGTACAAAAGAGAAATCCTAATAATCCAATAGTAGTACAGTTAAAATATAACTTCATAATCTTAATATAAAAGATAGATAATATAATTAAAATTTTATAATATGATATGATATAATATTATAATATAATGTTTGGTAACACTACATTTTAAGCAGTGGCCTTGATCTCATGATCTTCCCAGCAAACCAGGAGACCACTTCTTTGGCACGCCCATAAGGTTAAAAAAAAAATAGCATGGCACATCATTTTATTTTTTCACATGAACCACTTATTGATATCATTGCACCTATTCAAGCATGCCCTTTAATCCACCCATTCTAACCAATTATCTTTCATTATTTTTTTAAATATTTTTTCATAATCTATCTTTTATCCATTTTATTTGTAACTATATATATATATATAGTTCTCTAGATGTTGTCAAGTAGTAGTACATACATATTCTAGTGTTAGTTACAAAAGTTTTGAAGTACAAACACTATTTCTTGAGATATTCTAGTGAGGTGAGTGAAATAATATTACAACGAACGTACGTACGTTTTCTTTTTTATAAACTTGAAAACGTTACGTGTTTTGTGATTTGATTATATTATGGCTGTATGTTCGGAGAAGAATGATACTGAAACGGGGGGCCAGCCCGTTTCAGCAATTGGGTTTGAGGGGTTCGAAAAGCGGCTCGAGATTAAGTTCTCGGGTGCGCCGGTTTTTAGTGATCCGTCCGGGTTGGGACTTCGGTCCCTGACTCGGTCTCAACTCGACTCGTTCCTCGATGAGGCTTCATGTACTATCGTGGCTAATTTGTCGAATTCGGAATTCGACTCGTACGTGTTGTCCGAGTCGAGTTTGTTTGTGTACCCACATATGATCGTCCTCAAGACATGTGGGACCACAAAGTTGCTCCTTGCTATTGATCCCACTCTCAAATTGGCTGAATCAATTGGACTCATTGTGTCAAGTGTGCTCTACTCAAGGGGAACATTTATTTTCCCAAATGCCCAAGTTGCCCCTCATAGAAGCTTCTCGGAGGAAGTTAGTTACTTGAATAGGTATTTTGGTAATTTATCATCTGGGCCCCACGCTTATGTGTTGGGTGATCCGACGGTCCCGAATCGTCATTGGCATATCTACTCAGCATCTTCGGTTGATGACGTGGAGGATCGGGCGGCTGTGGTTACTTTAGAGATGTGTATGACGGGGTTAAATCGGGAAAAAGCCGGTGTTTTTTACAAAAAAGAGGGACATTTGGCTAAGGAAATGACCAAAATGTCCAAGATTAATGAAATTATTTCAAGTCACGTGATATGCGATGTGGATTTTGAGCCTTGTGGTTACTCTATGAATGGGGTAGATGGTGGGGCCTACTCAACGGTCCATGTGACCCCCGAAGATGGGTTTAGTTATGCGAGCTATGAAGTCATGGGGTTTGACTCAAGTTCGGTCCGGTTCGAGCCATTGGTCCAAAGAGTGGTAAGGTGCTTTGAACCAAAGGAGTTGACTATCGCCGTCACATGCTTTGGAGATGGTGTGGCACGTGATTGGGTTAATGAAAAGAGGGTTGATGTGGAGGGTTTCAAGTGCCAAAGTGTAGTAAAGCAAGAGTTGCCAGGTGGCGGATTTGTCTTATACAAGACATTTGTGGCCCACGTACTAGCGCATGAGATACGCGTGCCTAAATCAATCATGGTTTGGTCTTGTTGGAAAGCCGCAGAAGTGGTGGATGATGGCCGCGAGATGGTGGCTTATGGACGTGTCATGAGTGGGGGGCTCTTGGGTTGGGAAAGTGCAATTATGAGAACGGGATGTGCAAACGTCATTGATAGTCGTCAAATTAGCTTGATTGAGTTTTTTTATTCATTTTTCTTCTTTTTGGGATTTAGAATTACTAGAGCTCATTAGAATAATACAAAGAGTGTGTAATCGTCCGCTCACATGCAAAAGAATGATTGTACAATAGCAACTCATTGTTGGTTTGTGCTTTTGTGTTACCAACTTAATTAGATTTTGTCATATTCAATGACATTTGAGTAAGTAATTAATTAAGAGAAATTCTTTTAATTCTTGTCTTATTATTATTATCGCCTTTACTTCTTAATATTTTTAATTAGAGGACAATATATGTTAATGTGATTTTAACGTGTTCAAATTTTGGAGGTGTAACAGTTAAATTGTGTACTATGTAAACAAAGATTGACAAGGTTTGATTGATCATTGAATTTATATGTGTGGCTTACGTATTTTTAAGAGAAAAACTTAGTGTACTTTATAATATGTACTACATAATAATTAATTACCTTGGTTAAAGACCTAAAGATGATAGTAAAATCAATATACTACGTATGAAATAAAGAAGTCAAGTATCACTATTATATTCAAATGTTGAGAGTGTCATCAGTTATGCTATTTACTTTAGTTTATTTATTTATTAATTTATTTTGAGAGTGATCAGTTCTAGTGAATCTAGCTAGTGCAACGTTAACTACCACTTTATCTTACAACAAAAAAGTAATGATATTACAAGATTAACAAACTAATTAAAGGGTACACCTGAAATTGTAAAGAGGCAGACATCTTTTAAATAGATTATTATTAAAAAGGAAGAGAATGTGATTGACATCCCTGGCCTTTTAATTTCAAAGATCTATCATAGATTATATGGTATGATCTTCTTCCTTATAACCCATATAATACTTATTTGATCTTCTTATATATGGAGTACATCAAACTATCTTCATACAAGTATTGCATTCAATTCATTTAATTTTATCTAATTATTAGTAGCCTAGCTAGCTAGGTCAAAAATTATACTATCAATACAGTTATCAACGAGACAATTATTTTTAATGAAAAACGGATCATGTATGAGAAATTTATTATGCAAATTTCATCTAACTTATATACTACCTCCATTAAATATTAGTTGTAACTTTGGAATATTATTTGTGAGGTATAAAATATTCCAAAGTTGCCTAATATTTAACGGGGTAGTAGGTTTATGCATATAAATTTAATGAATGGCTTGTCAAGGCATATGCTGTTATCTATCACACCTTCTTGAAAAATTTGATGTGTTTGTTTTGATAATAACACATAATATATGCCCCACCCATTCTACATCAGGATTCTTTAATTAATCAATCAAACTTTATTATGGATCGCAGATTCGCAGTACTTTATAACCAATGCTTCCTAATTAACTGTATTGTTATATTGAATCGACATACATGTGATACTCCATATGTATTGATTCTTAAAAATTAAATGATTCTAGAAAAGAGACACTACTGTGTTAATGGCACTCCAAGAATGCATCTATAAGTTTTAAGAAGGATAGCAAAAGTTTAAGAAAAAGAAGAACTGATCTATATTCTTGTTCCATGGAATTCAGAAAGATAAAGTTGATTCTTTTATACCTAATTAATAAATTTATTAAAGTATATATCTTAGCTTTTTCTAAAATTTCATACAAATTATTGTCTTTAAGTTTTAACCCTAGCATATGAATATTGCTTGAAAATATGGTCGGTTGATAATTGAAGGGGGTATATATTCGATTATATCTTAGCTTTCTTTAAAAATTCATATATTCCACTTTGTTAAATAGCATGCGTCGCCTAATATTGCATGGTATGAAATAATGTTATTGGTATAACGTGGATACCGAATACCACTATTAGCATGAAGCCAAAAATTAATAAGAATAAATAAATAAAGCATGCAAAATATTTGGAGTAGATTTATACTTTAATTTTATAAAAATATTCTTGTTTAGTTAACCAAACAATCATTTCCATAGATCTTTCGTTATGTATCTTTTCCAGTTACTACATCATCTTTGGCACGCCATTGATTAATCTATAATGATTTTGTTTGCATTCCACCAATTTTATTTATTTTTAATTAAATGATTCTGTTGGCAATTCTTCTCATGGGTTTTCTTCTCAATTTTTTTCCTTCCCACATAAAATTTTCACGCTTTTGTTGGTATTTAGCTATTTGTTCTTATATGTACACGCGCTTATTCCTTTTACTGGCCAAAATTTATACAATAAGTGTAATATTGAATAATACAACAAGTGTAGTCATCTTAAGTAATACTCCTGTAAAAAAAAAAAAGTAATACAATAATCGGCTTTATAAAGGACTGTCATGTAATTATGTGATTTAGGGTTGACTAGACACACTTTTCTTTTTAAAACCATAAAGCTAATAGCGATTATAAGTTTGTTATCAATCTTAAAAAATTAATAAGAAATGAAAAAGACTAAAACGAATTTGTTTAAACTTAATGAACCTAATATACATATCTTGGAATTTTTACCTTGGCCTTGTATACAGTGGCGGATCCAGGATTTGATTAATAGGTTGTCCCATCATCGTCCATCGACCGCATATAATATCAAAAAATAGTCAAAGCTTGTATCATCGTCCATCGACCTTGTACTATACAAAACCTGAACTCTAAACCAAATCCCTGAAAGATCTCAACCTAAGTGTTCAACAATCAACACAAACTTGAATACACCTTTTTCGGGGTCTATGTCAATGCAAATCTACTTCCCTTGTACGGTATACATGTTCTCATGACAATTAGTCAATGTTTGTTCAAACAAATCTCGTGCTTTAAAACTCCAAGTTACCAGCATATATTCTACCTCAAAGCTCAGAAAGTCAGAAGCATTCATATCTATAAACATCATTTTCTATGGATGGCAAGCATTACCATTTGAACTAAAGTAATTTAAATGAACTCTATAAGACACTCCTATACAGTCACAGGAGAATTGTGCATAAGTCATTGAACAATGCTACCAAGACAAAGTTCACCCCTATTGGCCCTATTCAATCATCAACAGTCACCAATCCTTGATCAACTACCCATTAAGCTATAAAAATAACCCCTTTACACACATCTTATGCTAGGACTGGTCATAATTTAATTAGGAAGCTCAATTCAGCAAGCTATAGTTCATGTCAACTTACAATCAAAAACTCAGAAAAATAATCCAATCTAAGTAATAAAGGATGCTCTAGAAATGAGTCAATGCTAGTGAGTTTCTCAAAATTAGGAACTCAGCGGGCACTACATTGTCAATGCTCTATTTCTTAATATCTTCAAATTTCTGGAGCGTTCATCTTAAATTAAACCAGAAAATAAACATTAAGATATTTTGTCTCAGGTAATCGTACAGGGCTAAAGTAAACATTGCCCTCCTACATATCCAATCAGAGACTAGAAACTTCTTACCATAAATAAAGCTAGGTTCTGATCGAGCTTCTTCTACAATAAGACTCCAAGCAAAAGCACACCTGCAACTATCTCAATTAAGAGCTACTTAATATTCAGGTCTTAGTTGGGTATGTTTCTGGCCCCTGCTTCTACAAAGAGTAGGCACTGCACGAGCACGACGTGACAGTGGAGGAGGAGGATTTAGAGTAGGCAGTTTTTTAATAAAAAAACTTGAAATATCTTGAGTTATTTTTCTTTTCATTCGGAAATTGAAGTTAGGTTGAATTAGATAAATCATACAAGTAGGGTTCTCTCAAGGTTATTAAAACTAATAATATCATAAAAAAAAAACGCCCATTAACCTCAATTTCAGTCCACCCTTCAACCCCAAATCTCCAAATTAGCAATCACCATTCTTAATAGCTAATAAGCAAGTTTGACAACTATTATCATTTATCAATTAAACAGAAATAATTCTATAAGTCTATAATAGGGCTCAAATGGTCAAATATCCGGCCATAACTCACATTCACAAATCACAAATTCACAACATTCAAGCTCTAATCAAGTGACGATAATCAAGTCATAACATTCAAGCTTTTATAAAGTCATACAAATAATCAAGCACTAATCAAATCAAGAAATTTCACCCCAAAAAAAAAAAAAAAAAAACTCATACACTGTCACACTGATATAGTGATATTAAACATACTGATAATTTTGATTTAAACATTTAAATTGATGATTTCATATAGAAATATAGAATCTAATCTCTATAATCTTATTGCAATGTAATTATATAAATTAAAAGTTTAAAACTAACCTTAAAAAAATCGAATTTGGGGAGCCACTGCACGAGCACGACGCTAACAAACTCACAGACGGATTGACGATTTGATGGACGCCTCACTCATACCTGACGGAGAAGCACGAAAAGGCTGTCGAGCTGCCGGCGAGGCAGCGATACGGTGAACGGCGACGGGGCTTGGGTAATTGGGTGACTTTGAGACTTAGGGTTTCAATTTGGGGGAATTGGGGATTTGGGGATATTTTAAATCGTGAAATTGTGAAAATGAGGTTGTAAAGCCCAAAAAAAAAAAAAAAGTTTGAGAGTAATGGGAGTCGAACCCGTATCTCATATGTGGTAGGATGGGGAACAAACCACCAGACTACAAGCTAGAGGTGGCCAGTGGGCCGGGTTGGACCCAGCCCACCCTAACTCGCACGGCTGGTGGGTCACGTGGGTCCGACCCGGTTTCAATCCGGCACAGCCCGGCACAGCTCGGATTTAATCCGGGTTGTGTCGTGGGTCCAAAATTTTCGACACAACCCATTTCAACCCAGCTCAGTTTAACCCGTTTGATTCGACCCAAATCGCACAACCCGTTTTGACTCATTTAATTCGACACACCTAGCCCGTGAACCCACCTAACCCGACCCACCTGGCACAACCCAGCCCGCACGGCCCACCCGCACGAATGACCCACCCAACCCGCACGAGCCAACCCACCTAACCCGCACGCATGACCCACCCAACCCGCACGCATGACCCACCCAACCCGCACGGCCGGCACAACCCGCACGGCCCGCACAACCCGCACGAGCCAACCCACCTAACCCGCACGCATGACCCACCCAACCCGCACGCATGACCCACCCAACCCGCACGCATGACCCACCCAACCCGCACGGCCGGCACAACCCGCACAACCCGCACGGCCCGCACAGCCCGCACAATTCGCACGACCCGCACGGCCCGCACGGCCTAACATCCATTTTTAAAAAAAAACGGCTAGTTTTTTGTATCTAACGGCTAGTTTTTTGTATCTAACGGCTAGTTTTTTAAGTGTATGATCATCCATTCTA